TTCAAATGTAGTCACTTAATCTGATGTTGATCTCGAGCACCAAGACAAATTGTCCATTCACAACAATCTCAATAAGAATACTATTACAAATTTCATTCACAAATTTTCAATCTAATACAGATGAAAAAGAACTTGAAAGGAAAATAAAATGGGGGAATGAACCTACAACAAATTGTATGTGTTAAATATATATGATCAGCAAAATCTAACAATAACAGGTGACTGACACGGAAAACGACAACACTATCTGATGCATTATCAGCTAATAAAGCTATGTATATTCTGATGGGAAAAAATAAAATCACATTTTCATCTAAATGGTAGAACATGAAAATCCTAAGAGTGATTTTTCTAGTGAGTTTTCCTGGAGAAACACATAAGAAATTATTTCAATAGAGAATGAGACATTGCTTACTTTTCTACCAGCAAACAAAAGGGAATAGAAAGCTTATTAATTAATATATATTCTTGCCTAATTAACGCATGAATAAAAAAATGTCATTGAAAAGGTCAATAACTACAAAACTCTTTTAAAAAATGAGGGAACAAAACTTATTCCGATCTAACTTAACTGCTTTATAATGCTTGTCTTCCAAGAATAGATGCATTTCTGCTTGTAAGATACATAAATCTATTCGAGAATCATTTGCATGGGAACAAATTAAAGGATCACTAAACGACTCACATTTTACAGCTTTTTTGTTGGTCTCGGTGGTTCAACTGACAGCTCGACGCTTTAAGTTCAGGTTCAATAACTGATGGCTTCATCTCCACTTTGCTTGTGTTGAGTGACATCAACTTTTTAGCGTTCCTCACGTTAATGCTAGGCTGAAAAACATGTTCCTCTTTTGTGTAGGACAAAACTGTTATAATTTTTGAGTGACGCTAGAGATTATTCAGGATGACTTCCTCAGATGAATGTGGAATAGTTTATTTGACAATGTCTGTTACACATGGTCAATACGTAGAAGTTGGTGTTGAAAACAAAATTAGTCATTTGTAAGATTTAAAAAATCTAATGAGAAAAAGCTAATGCGAAACAAGAAAATATAATCAGTCTGTACATGTATAGAATTTAAATTTTAGCCAGCTAATAGTTGGTAGGGGCAGTGCACCAATTTCTACAACAGGATCAGAAGTCATATGAGAAACACAATAAAAAATTATAATAGATAGCTTGATCGACGGCAACAGGGGTTTCTCAAGCTTGTTGGTTAGTTTGACATGTTCAAATATAATTTCTGTCAAGTATACAATAAAATCTGTGTGTTAATGTTTTGATTGAAGTTGGTGAAACTTTCACTCTTGCAGCAAAGAGTGTAAGCTTGTTTGCATAACGTCCAATATCATCACCATACACAACTGCCTAATTTGTTGCTCATGTAAAGTTTAATAGTTTTTTGACATGTAGGGAGGTAATATGATTATGTGAAGAAAATGATGAGATGATACTGCTATAGGTAAAAGTACATTTTCGTCTTCGAAAATCAAAATTTGAAATTTGATTTTCTTCTCCAGACTTTCTCGCTCTGGACTCATGTCCACAATTTGGACTCTGCAAGTCCAATCAGGATGTCAGTCGTTATTCGATCGATACTAAATCTTAGTACCATGCGTCCACCTAAGATATCTTGAAAATAATATGGGCATGAAGAGTTAGAATACCACACCAATTAGAGTTCTCTTCAATTTGTGACATCTAATTAAATTAAGACGCACATTCTTTTGCTTATGTCTAAGTTCTTACAATATTTTTACTTCTTACGCAATCAAAAACAAAGTGGTGTATACATATTCTAAACACACATCAAACTCTTTTGTTAATGTCTAAGGTCTCGATCGACAATATCAATGTATACATACAACACAATTATACTTGAATAGTTACCGCATAAAGGGAAAAGGGGCATCTGGTCATAGACAAAGTTGGAGTGAATTAACTATGCAAAGTAAATTAATCATTTTTGTGGGGAAAAGCATAACGTATTACTTGAAATTGAAGGACGACATCTCAAAAGGAGGAAAATGAGAGCACATAAAAGGTGAAGAGAAATTCTTAATCAATACATGCAACATAATTGTAAACCACATACCAATATGGAGCTGGATTGCAAAAAGTATTACCCACAAAAAGGCGATTAACAACAAAAGAGGGACAATAAGTTGTGAAGGATTTCACCAACAAATAGGAAAAAAGACAGGACGAACTTTTAAGCAAAGAAGAACAATATTTCCTAAGTGCAATAAACAAAAATTTTGAGTAGGAATTTCTATAAATGTACGATTGAAGAAGGGGAAAAGGTTAATGTAGGCATACTAGCTATCAAACACTCTCGATACAGTAAAGACAAAGGAAAGTACACATGTAACTCAAACTGAGAAACCAAGAAGGATAAAAGAAGGATTCAATTTGAGCAATGATAAAAGCTATAAAACCAAAGCACACTCAGAATTTTGAACACACGATTGAATGAAAAATCAGCAAAAGCTGGGAACTTGGTTAAAAGTTCCCCAAGATCCACATGCAAATATTATACATACAAAATATGTCCTTGATATTCTCTAAAATCGAACCATTTACTGCATCTACTTATTTCTTATTTCTATATGACTTAAGATTAGTGGAACAAAACAGGAAGAAGGGAGAAGAACTCACCAAAAAAGAAGAAAATCTAACCACAATAAGACACAAAAACTATGAAAGTAACAACTCGAAAAAGAGATAGAAAAAGGAAAAATACCCACCAGTTTCATATAGATGAAGCTGCAAGAGGGCTGATACAAATTCTTGAGAGCTAAGAAAACAACTCGTCTCTCTCGCCTCTTTGTTGCACTTACTAGCCAATCAGATAGGGCCACAAAGAGTGTATATTTTGTGTTGCCTTCCGTACAACCACTTCCCGCACAAAGTACAACTTTTATATGCAGTGTTCGTACATCAAGTCCCATATATAGGAAGTAAAAAATAAAAAATAATAATTATTAATTATAATTATAATCATTTAAGTATAGAAACTATGTTAGTTTGTTTCAATCCTAAATATTAGGTAATTTTTTAGTAGGAAACTTTTGCCCTGGATTTTTTCAAGGGGGTTTTTTTCCGGACATTTTCTTTTGAATTTTTTTGCTTATAATTATGATCATTTAAGTATAGAACTATGTTATTTTTTTGCTTACTTAAGTTCACAAAAGCAATTTATGTACATGAACCCATAAATTTTTTACTTTGTGCAATTCTATGTAACAAAAAAAACTTGTTTTGTATTGCTGATTTTCTTTTAAACTTTTCGATTATGAGGGAACTACGTATAATACCCATTCACAAAAAATCTACTGAATTTGGCACACGACATTTTGTTGTATCGAGTAACAACAATGAAATATATATTGTTAAAAGTTGTTTTGGAGTAGAAATTTGATTGGCAACGGGTGAATTTGTATTCCGAAATCATGTTTGGACATGAATTGTTACAATTCTCCTCCCAAATTTTGCCAGAATATTTCAAACTTCAAAAAACTCCAAATAATTGTTTTTTCACTTTGAATCACTCACATCTCCATCAACAATCAACCCATGGCAACTTCCATAACTTACTGAACAAGAAGACATCCAAAAAGATATCACATCGTCTCCAGCTTTGCAGCATTGACCAACAGAGCCTTGTCGCCCAAGGGGGCAGTCTCCGATTATCTTCAACTGACCAACAGAGCCTGGTTGTCCAAGGGGCAGTCTCCGATTATCTCCAACTTGCAAAGGCTTTGACAAACGGAGAGCACACACGTAGTGGAGGTACAGAGAGTATCTCTAACTTGTTAGCATGGGCCCTGCTGTAATGAAACACACAATGAGGCAAGAGAGAGAGAGAAAACCGTCCCAATCCCTTGCAGTTAGGACGGTTCCTTGCAATAGTAACCAGGGCGGCATTTGTCATTTGGTAGCACAAGTATAGAAGCAAGTGGAGCCAGCTGAGATAGCTACAAGGCCTCGCTCTGTCAAGGATACATTCGGTTCAATATAATCTAGCACCTGCAGTCACATTCAGATGCAAAGATTACAAAAAAAATTCACCTCTAAGGAAATTTTTGCTTCTACAACTAGATGAAATGATCATGATAAGTTTTTCTATTTTATTACAAACACAGCTACTGTATTGAGTCTCGAACTTATCAACATGCAAATCTGTAACAAAGTGAAGTTCAAGCTAAGACTCACCCACAGCTGCCATAATTTGTAAGAGCGCCTGATCATCTTGCCAAGATCAGGGATTTTGAATCGTAGCATGACTTTAATTTAAATGCATGAGTCTATAGTGGACCGGATGTATAAGCGGAACCCAAAACTAGGAAACAACATAACTTCTCTTCATTAATGGACTTAAAATTGCCACCTGCAGAAATGAAGCAACGATTAAAATGGGAATCTATTCAAAAGGGGGAAAAGAAATAACTAGGATGCATGATTTAACCTACAACAAAGTTGAGATAGCACATCATGCATTCACAGAGGATTTTTAAAACTACTTACTGCTGCAAATGAGGCAAAACCAATTCAAACATCTTGATCATTAGATACAGCAGCTTCTCAACTCCAAATCCTTATCGATGGTGATTGTTGGTGCAGGTGTATCGGCAAAGGGAATTGTAACCATCTTCTTTACATGTGATCTGCAAAGAAAACAAGTTACTCCATTTTGTGAATTATGTGACACTCTTTTACTTTAAGTAAGTTTAAAAAAGAATGACACCTTTCTAGGTTTGGAAACAATTTAATTTTAAACTTCTCATTTTAACCTTAATGACATGTTTTTATTGCCACAAAAATGACGTGTCATGCTTAATACTAGAAGTTTCAGAAATATTCTTTCCTTTATCAAACTCGGTGTGCAGTTAAACTCCGCGACATAAAATGAAGTAGAGTAGGCAATAAATTCTTCTATACTCACATATTTCCGCAGGGTAAGAGAGCTCAAGACTTTTCACACATACAGCTTAAGAACTACTTAAAATAATGGGACATTGTTCCGGCCAACAACATGAAGCTCGTCCCCTCCCATGATATCTTCAACATATTCCTTAATCTTCATAGCAGAATCTATAAGTTGAGGGCTCTCTACAAGTTTGATAATTTTCAATGAACAAATATCCCCAAAACTTAGCGGAATCTCCTCAAGCATACAACATCTCCACAGTTCTAATTTCTCAAGCACGGGAAATGATTCCTCTCCAACCTCCCACTTAAAAAGTGTCACTTCATCCAACTCCAAAAATTTGAGATTCTCAAAGGTGTCTTCCTCCGTCATGTTCCATTCTCCCCCGTGAATGATTGTGTTCTCAAGGGACAACCCTTCAAGGTTGGACAGTCTAGCTAATGTTGATAATGAATCGGGTGTCAGAGGAAATTTACCTAATGACAATATTTTCAAACTTGAAGGGAAGTGAAAATCACACAGCCAATTTGTCCCTACAGAGGGCTCACTGTCATTTGAACTTTCAAATTCTACACTGAGGCGTTCTAGTTCAGTTAGGAAATCCAATTTTGGGAACCAGTGTCGTTTTGTTGAACAATCCCGTGATTCCTTGAGAACGAATACAAGAATTCGAAGATTGGGAAACCTTTTGAAAATATCCTCTGCATCTTTTGAATAGGAAAGCACCAGGTTCTCTAAATATCTCAAGTTCTCTAACTTTGTGTCCTCTGCTATCAGTATTGGTTCATCTGTATCCATATCAAGGAAAGAACAAGAAGTCATGTGCAGTATTCGCAACTTTACTAGATCCCAAATTCTCGGTAATAGTACCAAGGTTGATCCTTTGTTATACACCGAGAGGATTTCTAGATTCCGGAGGTTTGAGAAAGATGAAGGCAGAGATTTAACTTCTGTCCCAATTCGTAAGAACCTCAAATGAACCAACATGCATATTTCATTCAGCAAAGAATCTTTCACCTTAAAAGTGTGATCCAGTTTCAACACTCTAAGAAGCCTCAAATGTCTTAGGTGGCATGTATCAGAAAGACCGCCGTCAAGATTATCTGCATTTATCCTCAAAGAATACAGGTGTTTACCAGAATGCCTTTTCTTATTTGAACCAAACAGGACAAAATTTTCAAGGCCAAAGAACTCGCTTTTACAATCAATGGTCACTATACGTGGCATCAAATCTGAAGAAGAAGATGGAGCACTTGAACTTATCCGGTCAAACAACATTTCCTTTCTTGCTTTTATCAAACAAAAGTCATGCACAAGATCATGAAGTTGGCAAGTCGGGTACTCACCAATCTCATTGAAAATAATTACCAAGCTACTGGAAATTAAGTTATCCAAATAAACCTTCATCACTTCTTCCTCACTCTTCATCTCTGTCTGCTCCACAAGTCCTTCAGCATGCCATAAATCTATCAACCCAGAAATTATCATTGCAGTGTCCTTCGAATAACTTGCAATGTAAAGCAAGCACAACTTTACTTGATCTGATAAATGGTCATAACTTAGTTCTATAACCTTCATCACTTCCACTTCACTGTTCAAAATAAAGGAATTCAAATTATTTCGAACTTCAAGCCACACCGCCTTTTTCTTTTCCCTCCCTGCAATGACTCCAGCAATCAGATCAGCCACCAAAGGAAGCCCTTTACAATTTTGGGCTATTTCTATTCCAACATCCAATAGTTCATCAGGGCAACTCTCGTTTCCAAATGCCCTTTTCTCTAATAACTCCCAACTTTCTTCTGGTTTTAGCAATCGAAGGTCAAGAAGATCAGTGTTGCGCTTTCCATGCAAAGCCACTTTCTTTTCTCGAGTCGTCAATATAATTCTACTTCCTTTCTCAACTTCTGGAAACGGTCTTGTTAACTCATCCCATTTTGAGGTATCCCACACGTCATCTAAAACAATAAGATACCTCTTTCCATACAGTTGTTTCCGTAGTTTATCAACAACATCAATATTCTCACTCAATTTTGAATCCGAGCGATTAACTTGATTAAAAATTTTATTCAACAAATTTTTCTCGTCATATTCTTGGTCGACTGTGCACCATGCGCGAAGGTCAAAATGACTAGAAATTGATTTATCATTGTATACTTTGTACGCCAAAGTAGTTTTACCTGAACCCGGCATGCCAGTGATCGAAATGACATCTAGATCTGCTGATCCACGGGTGAGCTTCTCAATTATCCAAATTGTCTCCTCCTCAAAACCTACAATAATTTTACCAGCCGGTAATGACTTGCTTTCAACTAGCTTCTTGGGAGAGTTTACAACAAGGAGACCTCCGTTCTTGGGAATCTTCTCATGTAAATCGGAGACCTGTTCTTTGATAAACTTGATCTTCATTATGGTAATGGGAAGTGAGAAAATAAGATGTAAGAGACCATTATCTCGAACAATTATTGAATCAATGACATCTTTTGCCTCATATGCCACATCTAAAACACGTGCCCAAAGATCTTTGTACCATTCCTGCTCAATATTCACAAAAAAAGATCTTATGGATTCTAGGTCTTCTTTCACCAACCTGATTTCTTCCTTTATTAAAGCAATTGAATAAGCATTGGAATTCAGCAAATCATCTAAGTGCATGTGTAGCAGATGCATGAAGAGAGGTCCATCACTCATGGGGAAGCAACATTGAGATGAGTCCGGGACTGTCAGATAAACATGTTTGAGATCTTCCTTGAGGAGTTCAATATTTTCCAGCAAGTCTAGGGTTGCACAATTTGTTTTGTCAGTACTCTCTTTATTCCTTAATTTTTCTTCTAAGTCGTGAACAAGAGTTGATACCTCCCTGGTAAGTTCTCCAACACAAGCCAAAAGATCAAATAATTTGTCATGATGAATAAAGTCCCTGTGCATATCAGAAAGAATAATTAATAGGAACTCTATCATGACATGAATGTTTTGAGCCCCTGAAGTGGTGGTAGTAACATTTATCATGTGCTCCTGTAGATGAATCAGATATTCTCTAAGAATGTCAGGACAGATTTCCAGGAGTTTCTTAATGAAGTGTCCAACTTCTGCTGAAGTTGAAGCTTTCAAATTTGTAAAACATATGTTCACAACCTCCAGCTCAATTGGAATAATCTTCATGAGTAGATGTGCTAGCTTGAAGAGTCGAGACTCTCCATCAATTTGATCATCCCAAAGGAAGCGTCCTACTCTCTCAGCCATGAGTTGAAACTGAGGTAAGACATATTCAACAATCTCGTGCTCAATGCACCCATTCACTATCAACCCATGGAAATCTTTCATGTTGCCACACACATTGTGAAGAATCTCATACTGAGTCTGTTCAGTAAGATACTTGGATAGATGATGGAGATTCAGGAGGAGGAAGTCCATCTGCTCCTCAGTCATGGTGGCACTTGATGTAGAACGATTCTGAGAGCTGATAAAATAATCAATATTATCCCTGAGGTGAGTAAGGACATGATGTATGTTGTATTTAATCGCCACGTTAAACTCAACATCACAGAGAATTGATCGAAGAATATTTTCAACCTCTTGTCTTTGGACAGACATTAATTCATCAAATTGCTCCAAATCGGAATAAGAAAGCTGGATGTACGTACAAATAAATGCCATCCCAAATTTCAGATTTTCAATTTGATCAACCATTTCAACAGTCTTTTTATCTTCTTCATTCTTTAACCTCTCAATGAAATCTAGAACGTTGACAACATCCTTGTAAAGAGCAGAAAATGACTCCTGCCAAATGACCGAATGTTATATCAAGTTTTCATAGAGTACACACACACATATATATGCTCTACACAGGCAGCTAACACGTGCACATGTATTTAGTGTGAATTCGAAGAGCTATCCTTTAGGAATATCTAACACAAATTCTTGTTATACACTTTATCTATGAAAATTGGTGTAATCTATGTGACCTAATACTTCATCTAAAATTATCGGACACTTAATCTTCTACGGAAAACATTCAAATAACACAAATCAAACAATGGAAAATGGACCAAATATACCCTTGTACTATAAGATAAAGAGCAAATACGCTCTCCACAAAAAAAGTTGAGTGACATACCACTGAGTTGTTTGCTTCCCCTTTCTCTCTTCCTCCTTCATTATCCATGACTCTTTAAGTTTCTCTAGTAACCTTTTTACTGCCCCTTCCAAAAAACTATTAGCTAATTGAAAATTTGTATGGAGGAGAAGATACAGAGAAAAGGGGGGTGGGGTCATAGGACACCAAAATCATTGATGTTAGGAAGAAAATGACAAAAAATATGTTTGAACTAGTCAGTCAGGCAACTTGGTAGAAATATAAATAGCTGAAAGGAGTTGTACAATTAGCTATTTAAGTTGTATACAACCCATAATTCAGAGTAACAACTGAATTTTTATAGTGTCTTAAGGACAAGTAGGTTAAGGTCGACCAAACAATGATACTAAACATGAAAACAATGCCGAATAATAGCGAGCAAAGTAGTTAAACAAACTTCTCTTAGTTATTAGAGACGATCCATCAGAGATGGCTGGTCCTCTCCCTTAAAAAAAAAGAAGCAGAAAATTCGAGTGGAGGAGAATAATGTTTTAGCAGTAATGTTGAGCACTGGCAAAGAGAGTAGTTGAAACTTCAAAGGACACCTTACCTCACAATGTGGGCCTTTTCGGTGCGAAAGTTTCAAACTTTATTATCCGAATGTGTGCTGTAGCTGAAGGGTTATTTTGTGTGGTCTTTTAAAGTCATAATTATTAAATTAGTTTATAGGGAAAAAAATCAATCAAAATTTCAGAAAAAGAGAAAAAAAAATAATATAAATAGTGGTTGAGAGGTATCAAATCAATCTTTTCTATATTCAATTTTATATATATAACCTTAAGCTTTTCATAATCAAGAGGACCCACATCTGTCGCCCTCTCTTCCTTCCATTGGTCAAACTAAACTTGAGAAATACCCTTGAGTTGATAAAGTGGCCAATTTTGACTTTTCCTTCGGCGTCACTCCCATGATCATTAAAAAATTATACACCTCATCCCTGAAATCTTGTGGATCTTCCTCAACTTTAGAACCATGAAACTCTGGGGGATTTATTATAGTAAAGTCCCTCACTCTAGTTGCTGCCGTACCCACATTTGGGTTCACGGGGACCACAACCTCCCTATTGGCTTGAATCGTCATAGCTTGAGCCAAAACTTGAAAAGCGGATTAGAACTCCACGTTAGTCACTTGTTCGGCCAAGGGTCGGCTGGAACTTCTGGAGCTTCTTGTTCCACTTTGTCACAGGCATTCCTTTTAACCTATGTTCTTCGAGGGGCCATATCATGAAAATCATCAGATAAGCATTAGGAGAGAGACATTTAGAGTTACACTTTATCGCACAACTTTAGAATGATGAAAGAAGTGGAGTTTCATAAACATCTTATAACCTCCTATACATAAATGTGACGCGCTTCACACTTATGAACAAGATTCTACTCGACGTGGCTTGTGAGACATCCTAAGACCTTTCTAAACGTTAGGCTTTGAATACCAAGTTTGTCACGACCCAAAGCATACCATAGGCGTAACATGGTGCATAGAATCTCGAGAGGCTCTACACAAGCCACTTAACATACATCATACAAGATAATATAAATAAAGATTTCAAAAAAATATAGTGTTATACTCCTTCCGTCCACTTTTATTTGTCAGGTATACTAAAAATAGTGGTCCAAAATTAGTTGTTAATTTAAACAATCAAGAAACGATTAGTCACCTTTTTCCAATTCTACCTTTAATAATTAACTACTATTTTCAAAAAGTACTAGCCATTTTAAAGTTACAATACTACTTCAACGTGAAAAAATTATTACTATAGTTTTCAAAAAGTACAAGCCATTTTAAAGTTACAAGACTATTTTAAGTAATGCACTTTCACCATTAACTTAAGTAAGCATTCTATTAAATTAGTTTTAGAAGAATCATTAGATTATATTTTTATAAACATGGACACCAAAACTCAACTTAAAATTTCAGTAGATATTAAAATTCACGATTCCATTAAAGTTGAAGATCCCATGAAGATAGTTGAAGATCAAATGAAGAAAGTTTAACAATCAAAAGAAGGAGTTGGTGATGACTTCAACTTAAATGTTGTGAATGATGGATTGGACTTGAACAAGTTTCCATATTAAGGAGGAAACTTGTGAACAAGTTTCCATATGAATTTACCATCATATTAAGGAGGAAACTTGTTCACTCCTCAATTGTGAAGGTCTTATTAACAATTTACCATCATTATCCAAAAACTTAGGAACTAATTTCTCCCTAAATGATCGAGTACTTCATATATCAATTCAAAACTACATTTCAGTTGAGCAGGAAGTTGGCCCTCTTTCTCTAACGTAGATTTCTTTATATGCGGAATTTTATACTTATGAAAACCTCTTGTTCGCATAATTTGTACATTGGACGATTGTAGTGTTAGAAAAATACGATTCGACATCACTATGGAAAAATCTTTGTATGCCTTCACAACAACATTGATAAGTTCATCAATAGATTTTGGTGCCTCCACATGCTGTAAGGACTGAATGGCACTAAAGAATCCAAGATGTAGATTGCTCAATAACCTTAGAATATCGTGACGAATAAAAAATGATTCATCGAAAATGTTTCAAAAATTACATCCGTTTGAAATATCATTTATATCATGAACATTATCTATAACAATATTGAGATCACACAATTGTTTTCTAACACCATTATCATTATCAGGTTCAACGGACAAATTTAAAACTATTTGAAATAATGAAATTTGATAACTTTGTCTGATACCATATTTTCAAATACTATGCATTCTTTATAATGTTAATTTTGGTGGAAAATTTTAAGTTTTCATATACTAAATTTGAAAGCAGAAAAATTTGAAAGAAATATATTTTTGTTTAAACTAAATTTGAAAGCACAAAAATTTCATTCACGAAGAAAGCATCAATATTTTTTTTCATTGAGCAGTGTAGAAAGTTTTAATTCAGTTGAAAAGTTATCTCATTGAACTTTTGGTATTATTTGAACACATAAATCAGTGATATTTAATGTATACATCTAAAATCCATTAATGAAGACCAATTTCCATATTCATTGATAGTAGGGTTATATTAGTCAAATTGTACCTCAATTAAGGGTTGTGCATGACCTTATCCTGACAAATAAAAGTGGACGGAGGGAGTATCATAAAAGAATTTTTGACAAAGCACAACTCTAACATAGTCTCAACAAGCCATCTATACATCAAAAGAAAGTGGTTGAGACGTAACCCATACACCACATACAAATGTCTAAAAACGGAAATAAGGAAAACTATAAAAGTGTCTCGGCCCTCGAAACATGAGGGCTCACCAATCTTCGAACGCCAAGAGATCAACTAGCCACGAGCATGAGAGGTAGGAGTGTCGAACCCTACATTAGTGAAACAATATAGGCACAAGTATGCATTAGTACATGGAATATACTAAGTATGATAACAATGAATAAGAGTTATGAAATCATGCTAAAAAGGACTTTACATGACATGTAATGACCAAACTAAATCATAATGATAAAAGGGTTAGAAGACATAAGTCATAATCATGGTAAATGCAAGCTTAACATCTTTAAAATACTTGTGAGATACTTTGAAAGTAACCACTGTTCATTATTGTGGGATGTTTACTATTTAGCGGACAAAGACCATGTGAGCTATAACATGGAATTCAATATCTATTTCACACTGAAAAAAATGTCCTTACTTGCCATGGTATGAACCATAAGTCTGAGCTAAAGTGGATCCAGTAGCAAGTGTCTATCTGAGACAATCCAATGGTGGCGCATAATTCTGGAACTTAGAGATTGCTACTAAAGATCCACAGACACTAAACGAAAACCTTTATCCTTAAAATCAGCTCGGTGCTAAGTAAAATCTCACGGAATGATCATTACTCATATTCATATTATCATTCATGAAAAGGCTCAATTTAGCAACCAATCCAAGCTAAAGTTTATTTAGAATAGCTCCTAAAACTTGATTCAACTTAGGTGAGAAAACTTTTCAGCCTTATGTGTTGAGAATATGTCTCAGGATATTGCAGAAATAAAACAGTTAGCTATTTTTAGGATTTTAAAATTATGTTATTAGAGTCCTATTTGACTTATATTTAGGAGTTAAGTTCTTTTTATTTGTTATTTGAATTAAGCTGATAAGTTAGTATCTTATTTTTCTATTTTTAGTTAGGAATTATATCTATAAATGCAAGTCTCTGAATTATTAATAAAATAATTCCTTTGATAATAATGTAGTATTTTTCTATCAAAGTCTTTCTCTGTTATTTTCTTTATTTCTTTATTAAAAAACCAACAATTGGTAACTAGAGCCTTCTTCTTGAGGGACCTGTGAGTAGAAAAATGGATTCTGAAAACAATTTTTCACGAATGGCTCCTCCTATTTTTGATGGTGAGAATTATCAACTATGGGCTGTGAGAATGGAAACTTACTTGGAGGCTCTTGATCTTTGGGAAGCCGTGGAAGAGGATTATGAAGTTAATCCGCTGCCAACTAATCCCACTGTAGCCCAGATCAAGAGTCACAAGGAAAATAAAACCATTAAATCGAAGGCAAAAACAACTTTGTTTGCTGCTGTTTCGACAACTGTTTTCACGAAAATCATGACTCTTACATCACCAAAAGATATTTGGAATTATTTGAAGAAAGAATATGCTGGAGATGAAAGAATACGAGGAATGAAGGTATTAAATTTAATGAAGGAATTCAAATTGCAGAGAATGAAAGAGTCAGAAACTGTCAAGGGATACTCTGACAGATTGCTTGGTATTGTCAACAATGTAAGATTACTAGGCACATAATTTAAAGATATAAGAATTGTTGAAAAAGTTCTTGTTACAGTGCCCGAAAGATATGAAACATGTATAACTACCTAGGAAAACACACAAGATCTGTCCAAAATTACCTTGGCAGAATTGTTAAATTCTTTGCAGGCTCAGGAACAAAGGACACTTATGAGGCAAGATGGCATGGTTGAAGGAGCATTAGTAGCCAGCCACAAAACTCAAAGCAAGGGTAAATTTTTGAAAAATTACCCACCTTGTCAACACTGTGGAAAAAATGGACATCCTCCATATAAATGTTGGAAAAGACCAGATGCACAGTGCAAGAACTGCAAATAACTTGGTCATGAAGCTGTGATTTGTAAAAGTAAATTTCAAAAAGATGAAACAGTTGCCCAAGTCACTACTGAAGAAGAAGGAGACGACCACTTATTTGTGACAACTTGTTTTTCAACCAAAGAATCTTATTTTTGGATGATTGATAGTGGTTGTACAAACCACATGACATATGAAAGAAATCTTTTTAAAGAGTTCATTCCTATGAAAAATAAGAAAGTCAGAATTGAGAATGGTGATTGTATTCCTGCAAAAGGAAAAGGGTCTGTTTCAATTAAAACAAATTCAGGTACAAAAATAATTTCAGAGGTTCTTTATGTGCTTGATATTGATAAAAGTTTATTTAGTGTTGGTCAGTTAATAGAAAAAGGATTTAAATTATTATTTGGAGACAAATATTGTCGAATTTTTGATTCTACTAAGCAAGAGATTTTACAAGTTGAAATGAGAGGTAAGAGCTTCTCATTTAATCCAACATAAGATGCACACAAGCCTTGCAAGACAAATGATGAATTAGTAGATTTATTCACAAAGTCAATTTCAGATGAGACTACAATCTACAATTCCTGATCCAAGAAGGAGTGTTGAGAATATGTCTCAAAATATTGCAGAAATAAAACAGTTATCTATTTTGAGGATTTTTAAATTATGTTATTAGAGTCCTATTTGACTTATATTTAGGAGTTAGTTCTTTTTATTTGTTATTTGAATTAAGCTGATAAGTTAGTATCTTATTTTTCTATTTTTGGCTAGGAATTATATCTATAAATGCAAGTCTCTGAATTATTAATAAAATAATTCTCTTTGATAATACTGTAGTATTTTTTCTCTCAAAGTCTTTCTCTGTTATTTTCTTTATTTCTTTATTAAAAAGCCAACATTATGAATCCTTATGTGAGAAAACCTTTCACAGTCATGAACTTAGTAGTATGTGATGCTTATCGTGACCAACGACACTAACCTACGGTATGAGTGTCTACGATCGTCGATAGTATAGTAACCCAACTAAAGGTTGGGGTCGTGTCCCAAGGGAGTGGTTTTGAGAATTGATAGAAAAATAAAATTAAGCTCTAACTAGTCGTAGCTAAAGATATTAACAAACAAAAACATGGTAAATTAAAGGGGGTGACACAAAAGTGTCAAATATCAATTGGGGGTTTTGTCACAAGTAGTAAAAATAGCAAAAATTAACAAGAAAATCAAGTATGGGGAAATGTTCTTGGGGTGTGACCGCAATACAAGTTGAGATAAATCGTTGGGTACATGCTTTCAATAGGAAATTTGCAAGATAATAGTGACTAGGCTAAGCTTTAGATGGAAATAAGTTCCCTCTCGGGCAACTTACCCCATTTCAAATGGGTTCCTCTCGGACACCCATTTGCCGCATGAAGACTAGCCTACGCCTTACCCCACTCACTCTCTCGAGCTGAATGTTAGGATATGGATGGGACTAGGGCTCACCCTCTCGGGCTGAACCTCATGTCGACCCACTCCTTAGTCCATCAGTCTAGTGGTCTTGGTTTCGCAACCTTCCTCTTGGGCAAGCCGAAAACACATGGGTGGTTTTGTATTTGCAACTACAAACCCATTAAGTTAAACCACAACCACTAGGTGAAATCACCATTAAAACACATCTACCCTATCAGCAAGCAAGACCCAACAACAATATCAACACATATTTGCTAAATCACACCCCAAGAATGGGGGTTTTTAGCCACACATCAAGAAATAACAAATACACCTAAAATGATACTAAAATCAAATGGGTATAAGAAATTACACCTTGATTTAAGCAAAGGAAGAAGAATGGAGAAGACCCACTTCCAACTTGGGGAAGATGAAATCCTTCTCTCTTCAAGTCTCCCACAAAACCCTCTCCAAACTTAAGAGAAAATATCTAAAAATGTACTATTATATTATGAAAATAATAATAATGGTTTGGAACTTCTAAAATTAATAAAGAGTTTAGTATTTATAGCCATTAGAAATTAGTGCAGGCGGATAGTTCGGCAAGGTTAGTCGAGTCCGCCGAATGACTCGGCAACTCGCCCTTCTTCTGTCTCATCGCCGTTGAGTGCTTGCCTACAACATCTTCACTTTCTGGACCATTGGGCGGTATAGTACTGCTTCCGGAACTATTTGGCGAAGCACCGACTGCTCCTTTCATCGCCTTTTTGATCCTCTTCCTTCAGGGCTTCGCATACTGGAACAAAGGGCGGAGTCTGTCCTTTCGGCGAATCGGTAAAGGTTCTTGGCGATGCTCATACTTCAGCTTCTTCGTTCTTTTCAGCCTTTTTGTTCCTTTTTGCGCCTAAGTGTCCATGCTTCCACTAAAACTTCGAATACCAGAAACTTAAGAGTTTTCATCAAATATTGAGACAAAATAAGCATTCGAGGACACTATTTCTATCAAAATAAAGCCCTAAATGAGTCCAATTTGTGGACTCATCAGTATGTGAGAAAACCTTTCACAAAAAGAACGTTGATACTTTCCTCTCAAAGCATCCTCAAATCATTTACATCTCTTTCATAAAAGCATAGATATCTTTATAAAAATCATATTTCATAGTTCATAAGCTTCATTATGTATTTATAGTCTAAAATCATGGCTAATTGATTCATATGAATTCAACTCAAAATCATGTAAATACTTCAACTCATGCATTAAAAGATAGAAAAAAAATAATTAAATCATAATTGAAAAGAACCTGTGAAGATTGAATAAAACCCTAACTTTGAATTGAGAATCTAACTTTGTAAAATGTGAAAATCTTAGGAACCCTAAGGAGGAAGGACTTCATATGTGAATACTAATATACCTTAGTGATCAAGGCCCAATATCTATGGTGAATTGAAGATCTTGAAGTGAAACCCTAACTTCCTCTTCCTTAGCTTTAAAGAGGATTTTGGGGATGAACTTCGATGGAAATTTATGATTTAGGAGAATGATTTAGAATGGGTTGTTTAGGACTTAAATCACTTATATATGGCTTAGAATAGGGGTTAATATTGTCATGACCCAATTTCTCAGGTCATGACGGCACCTATTACACCTCACAAGTAGGTAAGCTTAACCCTTATTCCAGAGTCATAAGCAACAAACTATCAAGTGGAAGCCAACAACGAGAAGTATAAAGCTCAAAACAAGCAAAGAAAGGGTAAACAATAGAGATACAAACAGAAACCATCCCAAGACCTGGCACTAGTTGGTAGTTGAGCATCTAATACAAAACATGAGCACAAGACTTTACAAATACAAGATAAGTACGGGTTGTCTCTGAATACAATATAATGACTAACCTAGAAAAAATAATAGATGGAAACCGGTAGCTCCAGACACTCGGAGCTCACCCCAATCTCCAAAACTCCAAGCTTCCCTGCACGACTCCAATCAACGAAAATAACTCACACTGCAATCTGCAAGGGCATAAGTGTAGTATGAGTACCAAACAGTACTCAACAAACAACGGTTGACTGAGCTCAAAAGTTAACACAAGCATAAACAAGTAATAATGGGAGATGCTAATGTAAAAAGACAATAAAGAGTAGAGACATGATACACGAGGTAAGAAGCTGAGTCAAGAACGTACCTGGAACGCAAGCCAACAACCTATTTGTCAACAACTAAGACACCAAGTCAAATACCCAGGGTTAGGAGATCCCACAACCACAATTCTACAGTCCAAGCCTGACAATATAAAATAATAGAGAATAAAATATAGTCAAACAATTACCTAACTGGACCCCATAAGCCCAGAAGGTACAATAAAAAAAAAAACCCAACTGACCCCCATAAATCGGAGGGGTGCAATCAACAAACAAGTATACTGGTGATAGGTAATACATATGTATGCAGATGATGCCGTAGAACCATCAGTAGCCATCTATAACTAAGTGTATAAAACTACATCCCTGCCCTACAGGTGAGGTAGGACGCATGGAGATCCATCATTAGGTACTATGATACTCACGGCCAGAAAGGCTCATAGGGGACGCGGGTAGTCCGTATACACTACCTGGACCCGAACCAGGACTTAGGCCTTGAACTTGTGACAAGTAGGGATCAACTCTGTTGAGGATCATAAGTAGACATATTCATGCAAAAAAAGACGTCGATGGACTGACTGGTCAAGTAAGAATTGAGCACATCATAGATGTCTCGAATATCTCAAGTACAAAGGAGAACGCCCCTGACGTCTAGTAATCTCAAAATCTAGTAAATCCGGTGATCTAGGTGGTACGACTCCCGTTAAAACCACTTTATAGTAAAAACTGAGTAAAAGCGTATTTCATCATAAATGTTATGTATGCCAATGCATGAGACAGGATCGTACCACAAAATCTATGTGAATGAACAAACAACACAATGCATGCCATCACCAACATTCAAACAAGGCACTCAAGTCAAATAAATAATCAATCACCCAAACCACGATATCAAGCGGAGAGTACTAATCTGACAACCCGCTGGTCCTCGCGTACGACTTTGGGCCCAACAATATAATAAATCTCATAAGGGTATAGCAAGTCTATAGCTAAACAACAAGCGAATGGGCCAAGGAAGAGTTCAAAATCGATAAAATAGAAAACTGACTCAAGGGGTTACACCCTACCTCAATCATTCTACTCCAAGCTACGATTGCGCATAGCTAAGACCAACCCATGACTACAATGGCCACCCAGTTCATAGGTCCTAACAAAAGGAGAATGACCTATTACCAGCCTAGTAGGAGCAGAGCATAACTATAAGGGCGGTACAACACAATCTAAGGTACCTAAGGTCCCCCCGAGTCTATTGTCACAAAGTATCAATTCCACCAAGGATACACAAGACCATTGATACCACACCAAAGCTACAAGTCTAAACTAAGGATCCCTACACCCAATCTAAGACCAAGTCCCCTATGGAAACAAAAAAGATGGAATAACAAAAGGGAAGCTAAATACCGGAAAATGTGAAATATATACTAGAAATTATATAAGAAGTTCAACCAAAAAAGTAG